CGTCTGATGCCTGGCGTGGAGGAGAGTGGGTGTTGAGTCAGCAGGGCAGGCAAGGGAGGCTGCAAGTCCTTGGGTTGCATCTCATGTCTAGCACTAATAGGGTATCTGTGGGTCCTTGAGCAAGTCTATAACCTCTGGAAGTCTCATCTGGAAAAGGAGGGGCATAGTGAGGATTTATTTATGCTTACAAAGGCTGGGGTGTAGGCCATAGGTACGGGAGTGGTGGTAGGTGGTGAGAAGATTCAGCAGAGACAGAATGAGAAGCAGAATAGGTGGACTGGCTAAAATGCACTGCTGAGGGAGGAAATGATGAGGCAGGGAAGGTCTGCTATGCTATGTGGGTTAGCTCCCTGGCTGGGGATCAAACTCATGTTGCACTGGCTGCAGATATCTTCCTAGTGCTGAAACTTAACCCCCTGAGCCACCAGGGAGGCCCATAGTAAGAGTATTTTTAGAAAAAGCTGAGCTCATGGTGGGACACACAGGAAGGACTCTCAGTCACCAAGAGGACCAGTGGACAGGACAGGGAGTGGGGAGAGGGGCCATTGCCCCACAGTTCAACAAGGCAGAAGGTTAGGACATAAAAAAGAGGGGCTGTTCTGTGATGACACCAAAATAATTTTTGCTGTTAATGACAAAGGGTAGCAAAATATACCACCCCAAGATATTCCACTTTGAAAATTTTAGCTAAAAGTGTTTATAAAAACACTGGGTACAATATGGTGCTTTGGGAGGTCTCCCTACTGTTGCAAGGGGTTAAGTCTCAGCACTAGGAAGCTCTCCACAGCCCTGCAGCATGAGTTCGATCCCCAGCCAGGGAGCTGACCCACATGGCACAGCAGACCTCTCCTGTCTTCACTTCTGCTCCCCTCAGCAATGCGTTTCAGTAGATCTGCCTGTTCTGTTCCCCACTGTCTCTGGCGAGTCCTCTCACATCCCTCTCCAGACCACCACCCTTCACCTCTGGCCTGTAGCCCAGTCCTCATATGCATAAGTAAATAAACCTTTTTAAAAGAAATGGTTCTTGGATCCTCCTCTTTATCTTCCTAAAAGCAGGAGGTAAAACCCTAAGATGGAAGATGCCTCACTATACCAGGAAAAAGGTGTCATTTTTATCAGCAAGAACAGGAAGTTGAAGCAATGAGAATTCTGGACAAATGCACCTTGTTAAAATAATTCTGATCTTCCTTTAACCTCTCCATTTTACTGTGCTACAACTGCATCTCTTTGCTCAACCTAGAACAAGAACATTTAAGTTTTGTCACTTCTATCCTCTGGTGTCACATAAAACTTATATTAAATAAATGTGTTTGTTTTACCCCTGCGAATCTGTTTTATAACAATCTAATTCTCAGGCCCAGTTGAAAATGCTTAGAAGATAGAGGTAAAATTTTGCCTTTCCTGTGATGATTACACAGTTACCCTTGCAAAGCTGAAAACGTAAGGAAGTTAGTGTTTCTTTTGCTTAGGTAAAGGCATAAAGTGCCCAGGAGTAGAGAAAAAGGCAAGGACATTAGTGTGGATGGGGTGGGAGGTGACATGCCTCTCTGATGATTTCTCACCTTTAAGAATGGAGTCCTGGTGGTGCTTTGGATTAAAGTACAGCACTGTGAGGGCTCTCCCTGGTGGCATAAGGGGTTAAAGCACAGCATTATAAAGCTCTCCAAAGCTACTGCAGCATGAGCCCATCCCCTGCCAGGGAGCTGACACACAAGGCGGGAGACCTCTCCTGACCCGCCCGCTGTTCCCCTCAGAAGTGTATTTCAGTAGATCTGCCTGTTCTGCTCCCCACTCTGTCTCTGGTGAATCCTCTCACCCACCGTACTTCTGACCTGTATCCCAGTTCTGTAGGCATAAATAAATAAATCTTTAAAAAAGTGCAGCACTATGAAACTCTCAGCAGCCACTGCAGCATGGGTTTGATTCCCCAAGCTGGGGGGTGACTGACATGGTCCCTGCAGAAATCTCCTGACCCACACACTGCTCCTCTCAGCAATATATTTCAGTAGATTCTCCTGTTTCTGGTGAATCCTCTCACCTCCCCCAAACCCCTGGCCTGTACCCCAGTTTTTCTGTGCATAAATGAATAAATATTTTTAAAAATAAACAAATCTTTATGCCTACAGAACTGGGGTTCAGGCCAGAGGTGCAGGGGTGCGGTGTGTGTGTGAGAGAGGCTTCACCAGAGACAATTGGAGAACAAAACAGGTGAATCTACTAAATACACTGCTGAGGGGAGCAGTGGGTGGGTCAGAAGAGGTCTGCCACGCCATGTGGGTCACCTTCCTGGCCAGCAATTGAACTTGTGCTGCAAGGCCAAGTTGGACAGCTTCGTAGTGCTGTGCTTTAACCCATTGCACCACCAGGGAGGGCCCTGTTTCAGACTTTAAAGGGATTTTAGATAAAAAATACAGGACACAGAGTAATGCTGGAGCAAAGAATTGACTAAATTCTTTGCTTGTGATGCTTCAAGAAAGTATTTGTTAATAACTCCCTAAGGAATTGGCTCTTGCTGATGTGAGCCAAGTTCTTCTCTCAGCTCACAACTGCAAACTTTCTCCAGCTTCACGTCCTGTAACAAATCCATTTCCAAGAACTACCGAGTCCTTGGTCTCAGTGATTCTCAGGACTGACCTTCCTCAACAATGACTTGGCAGTGGGGGGTTCCCACTTGGGGGAGGCTGAAATGGTATGCTTACAATAATGCAAAAGGGAAAGGAATCTTCCCCACATAAGGCTTTCATCAAGTCATTTTTATTATTAAAACCTTTAGACACCTCATTACATCTAGAATGAAGTCTACATTCTACAGCTGACAATTCAATCTTTCAGACAAGCAAACGCATTAGCTTTCTTTACAGACTTGAACCCTCAGCACCTGAGAGCAGAATGCTCTGCTTGTTGTCTGCACTCTCTTGACCATCATCATCTCCTTAGAATCTTCTTGGAACTTATTTCCTTTAGGGTGTTTTCCTGGTTTAGTATCCGCCTAGCAAAACCCGACTATTTTTGACCTTTTAATCACATGAAGACCAATCGTCCAAGTCTAGGGATAAACAACTAATAGAGATTTTCATTCCTCAAGAAACCACCCAGAGTGATTTTACTTTCTGAGAGAGAACACTCTAATTTTTAGTTGCTTGCCTTTTTGCTAGGCATCCACACTGGAAAGACCAAATGACTCTTTATGGTGACCTCTAGTGGGCAAGGGGCAATCCTACAAAAATTATTAAAAGTGAAGGGCAAAGTAGAACCTTTTCTCTCGGTGACCAGTTTGCTTACTCTGAGGTCACATGACAGCATCCCACTACACCCTTATTTATTTATTTTTTCTTGCAGTATTATCTTGCGTTTAAGAGTTTACATTGCCACTCACCTGTTTCACCTCTAGCTGGCACGGCGCGGGCCGGGTTGCAAGAGTCGGATGTCGCGTGGAATTGCAGTTTAAAATAACCCCTGCCCAGTGGAACTCACTCTCTGGCCATCGACCAGAGCGCCAGGTAGTTCGTTCTGCGGAGCTTAGGGGCTCGAAAGCTCTGTGTTTTGCAGCCCGATGGGGGAAACACGGGGAAAGTCAACACATTAAGCAAAGGAGGAGGTATGGGAAGGCAAAGAGGCATTCAGTCCCTGCCAGCGGTAAGGCGGTTCTCCGAAGACTTTCTCCCCACTCTACATAAGCGTCACGACTGGGTCCAGGCTCCCTCTTTAGTACCGGCGCCCCCAAAAGCGGGGGCTAGGGCTGCTTCTTTCTGCCGGAGGGAAGGCGGGAGGGCGGCACAGAGGCTGGGTGCTGGGCTTACGGCTACCTTCGGAACACGCGGTACGTGATCCCCGCACCCGGAGAGGAAGAGCAAAGTGGGCAAGAAAAGCAATTGCTGCCTTCTCTGAGAAATCCTTTGGAGCGGTCTCAGAAAGCGGGTCGTGTTCTGGATAGTTTCTGGAAAAAAGCTCTTCAATCGCCGTCTGTCCCCGCCCCTGAAATTCTGCGTCCCAGCTCTCAGCCTTCCTGACCCTCCAGTTGTCTCCCTTTGGGGTGCTGATGAAAGGGTCCTTGGGGGTCGCGCCCAGGTCATCCCGACGGCCCCCGGCGGTATGCAGGAATAGGTAGGGGGGCCTCGGGGGTTGCTTCCCCTCTCCACCCGAGCCTCCCTTGTTCTCACATCCCTGCCCTGCGGACCCCTGCCGGTCACTGCCGGCGGGAACGGAGGGGGAGGCCCGTGCCACCAAGCGGGGAGCCCGAGGTCCAGGGCGGGGCGCAGGGGAATCCCAGCTCTAGGGGAGGTGCGGGCGCGGGCGGGAAGAGGAGGGCGGCGCGCGGAGGGAGGTGAGCAGAGCGGAGCCGAGCCGAGCCGGGAGGCGAGGAGGGGGGACCGCGAGGAGGCCCCGCCCCCGCCTCTCGGAGCCGGCTCCTCGCCGCCTCCGTTCTGGTTCACTTTGCCTCCAGCCTCTGGACGGCGGCGGGGCTTTTGCGGAGCCGCGCGGGAGGCAGGGCCAGGGGCCGGGAGCTGTCCCGCACCGGCGCTTCCTTTCGGCACCCGCGCCCCTCAGAGGGGACAGCGCCGCCGCCTTCAAGAGGGCACCCGGGCCTCGGAGGGGCTCCCCTGGGCGCGAGGGGCGGCGGCGCTGACAGCCTAGTTCTCGGCCAGTCGGGTGCAGCCCTGGCGCTGGAGGGGTCTCCCTGGTCATCTGCAGGTACTGCCGCGCGCAGGGGGCGTCTCTCGCGGTCACGCTGGGCTGCAGAGAAGGCTAGAGCCGAGGGGCTCCCGGGCCAGCGGAGGGCAGGAGCGGAGCCCCGAGGGAGAGCCGGCCGGACAGCCCGCAGGCCCCGACGGTCAGCTGAGAGCCGGCCGACCCCGCGCGGCGGCGGGGGCGCCCTCGGGCTTCGAGGCCTCGGGGCGGCCAGCCATGACCTTCGGGCGCAGCGGGGCGGCCTCGGGGTGGCCGCTGCTCACGTAGCCGTGGAAGTGGTCCTGCACGTAGATGTCCGCCGCGCTGCGGGGACGGCGGCGGGGGCGCCCTCGGGCTTCGAGGCCTCGGGGCGGCCAGCCATGACCTTCGGGCGCAGCGGGGCGGCCTCGGTGGTGCTGAACGTGGGCGGTGCCCGGTACTCGCTGTCCCGGGAGCTGCTGAAAGACTTCCCGCTGCGCCGCGTGAGCCGGCTGCACGGCTGCCGCTCGGAGCGCGACGTGCTCGAGGTGTGCGACGACTACGACCGCGAGCGCAACGAGTACTTCTTCGATCGGCACTCGGAGGCCTTCGGCTTCATCCTGCTCTACGTGCGCGGCCACGGCAAGTTGCGCTTCGCGCCGAGGATGTGCGAGCTCTCCTTCTACAACGAGATGATCTACTGGGGCCTGGAGGGCACGCACCTCGAGTACTGCTGCCAGCGCCGCCTCGACGACCGCATGTCCGACACCTACACCTTCTACTCCGCGGACGAGCCGGGCGCCCTGGGCCGCGACGAAGCGCGACCCGGGGGTGCCGAGGCGGCCCCCTCCAAGCGCTGGCTGGAGCGTATGCGGCGCACCTTCGAGGAGCCCACGTCGTCGCTGGCCGCTCAGATCCTGGCCACCGTGTCGGTGGTGTTCGTGATCGTGTCCATGGTGGTGCTGTGCGCTAGCACGCTGCCCGACTGGCGCGCCGCGGCGGCGGACAACCGCAGCCTGGATGACCGGAGCAGGTACTCCGCCGGCCCTGGGAGGGAGCCCTCCGGGTAGGACGCACTGCTACTTTGCCCGTCCAGTCCGTCCTGTGGCGTCTGTCCGTCCCGTCCGTCGGTCCGTCTCCATACTGTTTGCCTCCAGGCGGCCTGATCGGGCTGGGGTTCGGGACCAGCCGGGCCCCAGACGCGGCTCGCTAAGGGGTGGGGTTGGTCCGTCACTCCCCACCGTTATTTCCAGGCCACAAACGGGACCCCCTAGGGAAGGGCAGATGGTGCTAGACAAAGCTCCCATCTTTGCAGCTTACTTTTGATCAATTAACGACCAGCTAGTTAAATTTCACTAAACTTTTATTGGTGGAACGCAACAATTTCATCTTCCGCTAAACGCATTTTGAATTATTTCCCAATTTTTGGTAGTGTTTGAAAGGTGAAGACTTACTATAAAATGTGGTCTGCTGTACACTGCTCACACAATCTGCATAATATATTCCTATGTTCTGTAATAGAATTGTTACAGTGTAGAGGAGATTAATTTAATGATACACTCTAAATAATTGATGTCTACACCCTTTTCTATTCTTTTCATACAAAGTGTGCAGTGAGCAAAGCACTCCTCCACTACTTGGTAGGAAGAGCCACACCATGACTTTCAGAGTGATCTTTAAAATGGGAAGGGGGAGACACCCGTTACCTTGGGAAAGGAGAAAAAATGTAAACTGTCATAAGTCTAGAAACAGTAGTGGCCTAGTTAATGCATTTTCTTTTCACTTTACTCGGATGAAAGGAAAAAATTTTAATCCTTTCTTAGATAGTGCTTACCTTTCAATAGTGATAACATACTTCTATCCTTAGCTTTCTGAATTTATTTTGCATGTTTGGTGGAGTAAGAAGCAGAGCAAAGTTAAAACTTTAAAGGGAGAAGACTGCTCTGGGCACACACACACCGCTGTATTTTTGTTTTTATCTTTGTTCCTGGTTTGACAGCCTCTCTCTCATTTTTAAAACTGGGTGTGCTCTGGTCATCATTTCCTGATGAATAAGTGCATGTTTCAAATGATGCTGTGTGCCTTGAGATTGCAGTGGATTATATCCACATAAATGAATCCTTTCTTTGGAGAGTAAAGGTTTTTATGTAAATCTAAGAAGTAAATAATATTGTCTAGTTACCACTGAGTCCATTATTGATATGCCATCTTGAAATCCAAGAGACGGGCTTTGAAAGGAAATTTACTAGAAAACTCACTTTGTTTAGTGTTTTAGGTTCTGAGTTCTTGATTTACAGGTAAGAATTTCTTATTTCTTACTCCAACAGTACAAAGGAATTCACTGATATACCTAAATACATAAATGCCCTTGATTCTTTTAGAGGGCTATAGGAAAATGAGCCCTAAATAACTGGTCCAGAAATGGTTCAGTAGTAATTGCAGAATTCGAGGGTCAGTGAAGGCCAAGCTGTAGTTCCAAAGGGAATAGGAGAATTGCTTTAGTGCAAATACACTGGAAGCCAGTTAATATATAAAATCTTGAATAATAATTTTTTGGGGAAATGGAGGGAGTTTTGGAGAAAGAAAGAAGTCTGGAGTTTATTAACATAAATCATCTGGAAAGAAATGAGAAACATGAATAAAAATTTTAGGGAGAGAGACAAACTAAAAAGGGAAGAGACGGAATGGAAAAGAGGAAGATTGCAAAAGAAGTGAAGAAAGGAAATAAGAGTAGTGCTAATTTGTGTATATGTATTTATATGTATTTATGTATGTATATAATTATTCAAGTCAGAACTGTTTCCTAGATACCCAGATATTTCAGGCAAAGGCATGCTTTTCTCTTAAATTAATGGCCCAGTTTTAAGCTTCACTCTGTGAGTATGTAGGTATATGAAAAAACTGCTATCTATATAATATTATGTATATTCTCTGTGCTATACATATTTATATACTATAATATCTGTAATTCCAGACAGGTCAACTGAAGGGTGACAAAATGACTGAGGGGTGCTGCACCATTATGGAGAGGACCCCTGAACCAGCACTTGAAATATAGTCTCAGTACTGCTTACTTGTGGTTGGTGAAATTAGTCTCTTTGAAAGCATCATTGTCATCATTTGATCATATTTAGCATCTACCAAATAAAGTCAAACTTATATCTTGAGCTTCAAGGTTCTCTGTGGCTTAACTACAAAATGCCTTTCTTAATTCATCCCTTTGTAATTTGCAAATATCTTTTGAGTATACACTGTGTTCAAGGCACTGTCAGTGTGATTTTTTTTTTTTGCAAAAAAAAAAGTATTTATCAAGTTGGTGACATATAAATCAAAGGCAAAATTGATCTGTGGGCTGAGTTCTTCTGCAAAGGCCTGCAAGGTGGATAAGGGTGGAAACAAGCCATCTTGTTGGGAAGATGCAGACTGTGCACTGCCCGACACAGGCAAGGCTGTCATTTATACAGAACAGTGTTTACACCTTGTACAACTGTGTGTGTGCTTTGCAGGGAACAAAATAAGAATTCCCTGTGTGAAAGAAGCAGCATGAGCATAGGCATGACATTTGTATATTATGTTCAGAGAAAATGAATCTAGTGAGGAAGGGAGAGGTGAACGGAGAGCAGATGTTACAAAGCCTGGAAAGAGAGAGGGAATACATTGTTTTGCAGGCAGTGGTCAACCACTGGGGAGTTTGAGGTGAGTAGGCTATACATATAAACTAACGAATGTCAGGTGATGTAGACTGAAAAATTGGAGATGAGGGAGAAGGATGAGTTTGGAGATATTGCAAAGTGGGGGGACGAGAGCTCGGATTACTTTGGTAAGCTTGGATTGGTGAGACTGGAGAAGAAATGGGAAATATTAGGAAGAAACATAGTTTTTAAAGAAGGTTATTTTTATTTACTTATGTTTACAAGAACTGGAGCATAAGCCAGACATGCAGGAGGTAAGAGGATTCATCAGACACAGAGTGGGGAGCAAAACAGGTGAATCTACTGAAATATACTGCTGAGGGGAGCAGCAGGCAAGACAGGAGAGGGCTTCAGCACCATGTGGGGCAGCTCCCTAGCCCAGGATTGAACTGATGCTGCACTGGCTAGCCATAGCATGATAGTGCTGAGACTTGAACACCTGTGCCACCAGGGAGGCCTAGAAAGAATCATATTTGATTGGCCATTGAAAGGATATAGGCATCAGAGACTGATGTAGTGACTTCAGAGCAAGGTCCTATCTTATGAGGGCTCCTTTTGTCTAGACTGGCCTGCTCCTTGTTTGCCAGCTGCCCAGATGCGGCTCACTGTGTAGTTCCCTGCCTATTGAGAGGATCATCCATCAAGCCTGACAGACGCTGTTTCTCTTTTGAAACCTTTCCTGACTACCCCAATAGATGTAATATTTCCTCTTCAACTTCTTAAGGGGTTGCTTATTTGAGCCACTTATTTGACATATATAATATCCTCCCAAGCATGATATTTATTTTTTCATATAAATATGCCCTAAGCTAGATGAGTTGAGAAGCTCTAGAAAGCAGCTAAAGCCTCATACCCTTATTATTTCAAAAGAATCTTTTAGAAAAAAATTAATTACCCAGGCACAATAAAAACTACTGTTTATGTTGTATTTCAAAATGTATTCTTCTAAGAATTTATTTTCTATTATGCAGATTAAAGAACTATATGGGAAAAGTCTGAAAAGTTGAGGGTAAAACTCTTAGTTGTGCTAGAATGAGAAAAAAAACCTATTAAAGAAACAGCTATTTATCAAGCACTTATTACAAATTAAATAAAGACAAGTATATTTCTTATTATTAATCTCTGAAATTTGAGGATATCACATAATCTGAAACTTGGAAGACTTCATAAGAGGTCTTCCAACTCAACAATTTGAAAACTTTTTGTGCACATATATGATTCTTTTAATTGTATTTGGTTTTGGATGGTTAATAATAACATAAATAATGGCTTAGTGTCCAAAAGCTACAAGAACAAGCCTTAATCCTAGATATAACCAGTTCTCTTCCCTAGCTTATAACCAAAGTTATGGATATTTCATGTGCCATTTCAGAGACATTTTCCATATTTACAAGCTTTGCATATATATTTACAAAAACATGATGCTATAAAACACTCTTTTGAGATTTGCCATTTTAAAATTAAATAACATGTCACGAAAATTGTTCCAGATGAGTCTATAAATAGCTGCCCTGTTCTTTTATGCAGCTGCATAATATCCCATTACATGAAGGTCCCATAATTCCTCCATCTTTATGTTATTCTTGTCTGCAGGAAACACTTAGTGACTGTCCTTATAAAGGCACATTATTTTGCTGTTCTCAAAGTATATCCATAGGAGAAGATTCTGAAAGTCATTGGGGAAAGGGCATGTGTACTTGTAATTTACATGGATAACTCCAAATTGCTCTCTGAAAAGATGTGTCAACTTATATTCCCACCAGTAATGTGTGAGAGACTGTTTCTTCATACTCTAAAAGTGTTACTGTACTCTAAAGGATAAACAGTGATTTCAAATAGCTTTCATTTATTTTTGCCTTATTTTGAGTAAAATGATGCAGCTTTACATGTGTGTGTGTGTGTGTGTGTGTGTGTGTGTGTGTATAGGGATCATTTATCTTATATTTTTGTGAGCTATATATACTTTTTGATCATTTTGTCAATGACTTTCTTAGTTTGAGATTTAAAAAATACTTTAAGATACTAGTCCTTGGTTTATGATGTGTTATATTTTGTTTTCTAATTTAAGATCCCATTAAAAGAAAACCATAGTTGCTTAGAGCACAGTGACTATACTTTTGATATGTACTTAATGAAAAAAGTGCATAATGTTAAAAAAAATTGTGCATCTATTCATGAGCCATTTTGGGGGGTTCCTGTATTCATAGCAGACATTGTACACGGTTATATAATTCAGGGCTCCAGCCCTCCTGGAGCAGGAAAGAGACCACAAAGTAAAGATATACATATGGATTCAGACAGTGAAGAAAACCAGAGTATAGATTGCAGTAGGGGCATACCAATGAGGACTTGAAATGAGTTGAGACCTGAATAG